TCGGAAGATGTGGTTAATATATGTATATATATATATATATATATATATATATATATATATATATATATATATATATATATATATATATATATATATATATATACATACATACAGTTTAACTGCATAAAACAGTATTTTAAAAACAACAACTTCAATTTCAGGAAAAAAAAACAGTTTGATAAAGCAAAATAGTCAACAAATGATAGATATAAATACCACATGGTATATAGACACCAAAAGGTATCTGATATTGTATTATTTGGCTTACTTTGAAACGACAATTAAAGGACACATGCACCGGGGATATGCCAAACCTAAGCAAATTAGGCATATTTTAAACTCTTACCAGACATTCTGTATCAGAAATAATCTAGTCTATTCTATGTTTTGCTGTAGCTGAAGTATTTATTAAGTGAGTATAAAAGCAAATATGATTAAGAATAGAATGTGTTTCTTTTAGAAACATTACTGTGTTTTAGTTCTTTAACTTTTAGCAGCCGCAGTTCCATGCTTCCATATTGATCATGTTTCGATTCGAAATGCCTTCGAAGTAGAGACCTGCGCGGGACGGATTGTTCAGTCCTGCTCCTGCCCGTTCCCGCAGGATTTTGTCCCGCACCTGCCTGCTGCCGCAGAAATGTTATCTAGTCCCGCTCCCGCCCGTATAAAAGTAGCCTTCAGTTGTGCTCAAAATTATTCATACCCTTGGTAAATATGATCAAAGAAGACTGTGAGAATTAATCTGTATCATCAATCCTTTAGATATTTTATTTTTAAAAAAGTACTAAAATCTAACCTTTCATTGGAGGATAAGAATTTTAAATGGGAGAGAAATGTCATTATGAAATAAATGTTTTTCTCTAATACACATTGGTCACAATTAATCATACCCTTTTATCCAATACTTTTTGCAACCTCCTTATGCCAAGAGAACAGCTCTTCACCTATAATGCCTGAAGAGTTTAGAGAACATCTGACAGGAGATCAGAAACCATTCCTTCATCCAGAATCTCTCCAGACCCTTCAGATTTCCATCTGCATGTTGATGCTTCTCCTCTTCAGTTCACCACACACATTTTCTATAGGGTTCAGCTCAGGGAAGTGGGTTGGCCAGGGCAGAAGCTTGGTTTTGTTCTGTGTCCAAAATTTTGATGTTTGTTTGTGGATTCATTGTCCTGTTGGAAGATCCAACCATGGCCCATTATAAGATTTCTAGCATGGACAGTCAGTTTTTCATTTTTTATCCATTGGTATTTTATAGAATCCATTATGCCATCTATCTGAACAAGATATCCAGGATCTCTGGCAGAAAAATAGGCCCACAACATAAAAGATCCAGCAGTATATTTCATTGTACACATGGGGTACTTTTTTTTTTTTATCCCTGTGTGCACCAAACCCATCTTGAGTGTTTGCTGCTAAAAAGCAAATTTTTTTTAGTTTCATCTGACCATTGAACCCAGTCCCGTTTAAAGTTCCAGTCGTGTCTAGCAAATAAATATGCTGGAGTTTGTTTTTGGATGAGAGCCTTTTCTTTTCTAGTTTTTTCTTGAAACCCTCCCAAACAACATTGTTTTTTTTTAGGCTTTTTAACCAAAAGATCAAGTGGATAAAAAAATGCGGATTTATTTTCACAGCCTTCTTTGATCATATTTATCAAGGGTATGAATAATTTTGAGCACAATGGTGTATAGATTTTTTTCTGTACATCCATGAAACATGAAATAGTAAGTTCCGTGTCACCAAGCCACAACATCTCAACGCTTCCGATAAAATATTTGTTATTAAAGTGTAAACATTTACAGCCACTATTATTTTTAACAGAAAAGCAAGCATAGGCTGCTGCGTTTGGCATGGCACAATGTGAGCAAAGAGTGCTCCTTTTATAATCACTAAAAAATTTCAGTTCATCGCGATCTCACAAAGCTGTTATACCACAATGAATATATGCACAATGAATAATGTCTACACTGTGTGTTATAATGAGAGGATTCGTGAGCACGCAGATTTCAGAAGAATTTTACAAGAACTCCGGCGTTTTGTGCGGTGAGTGGATTCTAACTTAAACGCCTCTGATTGGCCTACATTGCTCAATGCTGCAAACACGTGTTATAAATAGAAACTCTGCCTATGCTTGCGCCTGTTAATCGTTTTTATTTTATATTAGTTGTTCTTTTGTGCAATAGATGAATAACAATTAATTTGTTTTTAGATATTTTAGGTTTAGATATTTTTTCATTTGCGGGAGTCCGGCGAATCATTTTATTCTCCCGCATCCTGCACCCACTCTCGCCAGTATTAAGTCTTGTCCCGCGGGTCTCGCAGTATTACCCCGAAAGTGCAGATCTCTACTTCGAAGATTATACTCTCTTTGAAAACCGTGAGTGTCTCTTGACATAAAATGGGCGGGCCTGATTAAAAGTCGTGGGGGGCCGTGTTTGGCCCGCGGGCCTGGTAATTGACACGTGTGCTAAAGTGTTGCGGAGATATAGCCTCATGTTCATTTTGGTATGCTCTTCGTCAAATTCATTTACACGTTATTTGAGAACAGTTTGGCTAATCAACTTGAATTCCATAAATTTTTGCCAACATGGTCTGAAGATGATCTGAACCAATTTGGGTGAAAATCTGACAAACTGCCGAGGACAAGTTCGAATTTGTAGTTTTTTTTTAACTATTAAAAATTGCAAAAAAAACTTGACCTGTAGAAATTTTAATTTGTGTCCAATTGACTCAGCATGAGCCAAGGAATCAGAGGAAAAAAATATTTTGCTTCTAAAAATTTACAGTTAAAAGTTATTAGCATAAACAGGGGTTGAGTTAGAGACTCCAAACTTGCTATGGTTAATGTTGACACTTACCACAAGTGGTTCTATGGGCTTCCATAGACTTCCAGAGCAGAAGAAGAAGAAGAAATCTCACAGATACAATAGGTGCCTAAAAAGTAATTCAAAAAATTATGATGGCTTATAAATTATATAGAAAACAGGTATATGTAATAATATAAAGGTAAAAATTAGTTAAATTTACTATTAAGAACAACCTGAAATCTTTCTATTGTTATGAAACATCTTCACCCTGCATGCTGCCTCAAAATTGATTTGAACTTCTCAAAAGAATTTTCACTTCAGTTCTGATTGGCACAAACCCCTGACAGTCACATACTCACTGTGCCCACACTCAGTTCTGCTTGTGATCAGAGAGCTGATGACTCTGTTTGTGTGTGTGTGTGTGTGTGTGTGTTAGATACACTGTACCCTCTGTAGTCTCCTCATTAAAAGGGGCACGGTTGAATGGATGCGCTCACCAGTTCAACCAGTAGATTTCTATGAGGTTATCATCGCAGTACTTTCATGGCAGTCTCACCAGTATCCTCCTGTGCTGTTTCCTGGCATTCATTTTCTCATGGTCACACAGTTTTTATGACTCAGTTTTGCATTATTTTGCAAATAATTTCCTGGTATTATGTTACAGCCCTGAAAATATCAGCAGCTGCCCAGTTATGACACCAGGGTGTTAGTTTAAAGTGGTTTCTGTTACATGATGGTGAACTGGTGCTGACTGGGTTTGTAGTTGAATAGTGATCAGGGTTAATAGTCCTGCTGTTCTGTTCTGTGATACACACAAGAGTTTTATGCCCCGCTGGGCAGATTGCATCTCTTCACTCAGTGATTGGCTAATGTCCAGCTTTGGTTCTGTGATTTCACACCCAAAGGGAGTGGCTGGGTTGTTCAGTGTGAGATTTAGCTTCCCCTGGTGGTTGTTTGCAGTGCTGCAGGATGATTAAACTAGCTCTCTATTTTCATTCAGGCCTTTCCACAATCAGAAGCATCTTGCCCATTCAGTAAAACCAGTGGTGATCACTGACTGTCAAGGTCAACTCTTTTATTATTTATTTGTATTTATTTATTTATTTTATTGTAAATTAAACAAAGTAATGGACAGTTTATTTTATTACACCATCATTCGAAAGTTTGGGGTCAAACTTTTTTTTTTTAAGAAACTATATAATTTTATTCAAAAGTGTCAGTAAGGACTTTTACATAAGAAAATATATCAAATAAATTGTTCTTTCAAAGTTTCTATTCATCAAAGAATCAGGAAAAAAAAACTCAAGGTTTCCACACAAATATTAAGCAGCTCAACCATTTTCAACATTGATTATAATTAAAAGAACAAAAGAAACAATTAAGCACCAAATCACCATATTATAAATAATTCTGAAGGATCATGTGACACTGAAGAATGGAGTAATGATGCTGAAAATTCTGCTTGGCCGTCACAGGAATAAATTACATTTTAAAATGCATTAAAATAGAAAACAGTTATTTTAAATTGTAATAATATTTCAGAATATTACGGTTTACTGTATTTTTGATTAAATAAAATGCAGCCTTGGTGAACATAAGAGGCTTTCTACAAAAACGAGCATTAAAAAAGTCTTACCAAACTCAACGGTAGTGTGTTGTGTCAGAATTTGAACACAGGTCTTCGTGGATATTAAGTTTTTTTTTTTTTCCCTTTGGTAATTTCCTGTCTCGTCTAGACAGCAACTGGTACTCCCTCAAAAAAAAAAAAAATATATATATATAATAAATAAATAAAATACATCTCTGTGTAGAATCATATTATTTTGGCAGCTTTTCAGTTGAAAACATCCTCTTTTCTTACGTTTTTATCTACAGGAGCTGGTAAAACAATGTGTTAGTGGACAGGAGGAGAATAAAGACACAGACAATCTGGTGCAGGAGCCCGACAGTCAGTACGGCACATGGGAGACTGGACTTCGCACAGATGACAGGTGAACACATACGCCTTCCAAAAACCATGTAAAATCATAAACATTTATGTCCTCAAACTAACATAAACACTATACCTGAACAAACCTATCCTCAGTCACTGTTTGTAACTCAACACCAGGATCAATTGCATCTATTGAGTGAGTCATCTGTAGCAGAGCTATAATGCTATAACGACCTCATGGACAGACACACAGGCAGATTCATCTTCATTACAGCGCAGACCGGGCTTGTCGGAGAGGTTTGGTTACGGCTGTGACTAAAGCAAGAGGGATTCAGATGAAATGAGAGCTGGTATATGTGGATCATTGGGTTGTATCTGTGCTCTAAAAAGGAACTTTGGATGGGTAGATGTTTGTTGTCAATGTCTATTAACAGGGATGTCACTAAGTGTGATGTAGCCACCCAGTAACTCACAGATAACCAGTAAGTTTATTAGGAATTGCAAAATTATACATGGTTTAAATTTAAATTATAAATGGGAGTCTGACCAACACTCATGTAGGCCTAAATGACGTGTGTGAATTAAATTAAAATCAATGGGCTACAAACCATCAGCGACAGATCATTTGTTCCGTATTTTGCCATACACCCGAGTATAATGGATTATTGGAAAAGAAAAAAAAATGTAGGGTGGGACCTTGGTTCTGTTCGTTGCTTGTCAATGGATGGAGGAAGATCTGAATGTGAGCTTGTAGTCTATTGTAAGGATCGTATTACAAGTTTAATCCAACAAAATTATTGGACTCCTGCATACATCGCTAGAGAAAAGTCTGGCATTTTAGCGGAAGGTTGTTATGATGTTTTGATAAAAAATTGCTAACCCTTCAAACTACTTTTGCTTTGGAGAAATGTTCCTCACATAATATGAGGGAACAAATATGAGGAACAAAAACAGAATGTGTCTGTTTTTGTGCTGCTGCTTGTTCATCTGATGTAGCAAGTGACAAAATATACCATCACAAATATGCTAGGAAAAATACTACCAAAAAAAGTCATAATAATGAAAATAGAGTTTCATGATCAGTAATAAATCGTAGTAGTTAATTGAATACATACACTGTAGTATTTATACATTTAATTTATTTATGCATAAATCAAGCTGCTTCATTTTTTATTTTTTTTTCAATTCACTGGCCATAGACTGGAGTGGTAAAAAGCTCAGTTCGAACCTCATAGCAATGTACTTTTACAGTCATGTTTTTTTAATTTGAGGTTTTCTGCACAAATGAAATACTGACAATATATAAGTGTGTTCAAATATCCCTTTCCTCCTCCTCAGCCTCACTCCAGCTACACCTTCATCTGATGACAACCTCACCCCATCTCCACGGAAGCCCACCCCACCCCACACTGCTGAACAGCCCCTTCTCATCGACACACCAGATGGCTCGACAACATCTCCTCAAAAGCAGACCGAGCTCCCATTCCCAGAGGTCAGTCTTCGTTGCTAAACCATAGGGATAGTTGGCCTAAAAATGAAAATTGTCATTGTGCTCACCCTCATGCTGTTCCAAACCCTTAAGACTTTCATTCATCTTCAAAACAAAAATGAAGATATTTTTAATGAAATTTAAGAGATTTCTGTCAAAGTCAATGAAACCAAAACTTTAAATAAAATCTTCTGAAAAGACATGATTTATATAATGAACAGATTTAATTTAGACTTTTATTCATGGATTAAACCACTTAATTCATGTTTTCATTGTCAACTTTTACAATGTCTTAATAAACTTTTTAAAGTGTCAAAGTTTTGGTGAAATGGACTTACAGTGGGTTGACAGAAATCTCTCAGGTCCCACTTGAGAGATTCTGAAAATTCTGTCGTCACTTACTCAGCCTCATGTCATTTCAAACCTGTTTGACTTTCTTCTGTGCAACATAAAAGGAACATATTTGGAAGAATGTTGTTAACCAAAACATTTTGGTTCCATTCCATTATATGGACAAAAAATACAATGCAAGTCAGTGGGAACTAAAACGGTTTGTTACCAACATTCTTTAAAATATCTTTTGTTTTTCATAGAAAAAAATATAGTCATACAGGTTTGGAATGACATGAAGTTGAGTAAACAATTACACAGTTTAAATTTTTTTGGAGAACGGTCCCTATAAAGACTCTAATTTGAATGCAAACACACACAACTGTACATGACATTTGTTTGAGATGTCGCTGTCTGTGTCTGTAGACCCCCACAACACTGTTAGACTCCAGTGCACTACGTTCCAGGGTCAGTCTGAACAAGAAGAGCACTCGCAGAGCCCTGCCTTCTCGAGGTGCCCGTCACAGTGCCCTCTTATCACAAGTACCCGAGGGAACCGGAGCAGATGATGAATGGCGCTACAAGGACTCAACAGGTACTTACATCTATTAGCAGCAAGACACATGCGTACCTGCACATCTCATCCCATGAGGTTGGGTTTAAGTAGGTTGTGGGTCCTCTTTGGGTCATAATTATCTTTGTACTGTAGCAAAGTCAGTAAAATCTAGTCCTCTGGACTCACTCCAGTCTTTCTCTCTGTCTGTAGAGGAGAAGACAGACTCTCCTAAGCAGGGTGAAGACTCAGACTCTGAGGAGCAGGCCAAGGGAATCGAATCCCGTACTTCCTCCGTGTCTCAGCCTCAGAGAGTGGCGCTCTTCCCTGGCATGGACCCATCTGCTCTAAAGGTGAGGGGATTTTGGGGATTTTTTTCCCCACCAGTTCAATTTCCTTAACCTTGTGAAGTCTGACATTTGAAATAATAGTCTGGAAAAATCAAATTTTTAGGAAATGGAATAGTTTATCGAACCTTTAGACAAAATCTGAAGGGGAAAACAATTATTCAATAAAATTAAAAAATATGCCATTTAATGCAGTTGCTGATATTTTATATAAAGTGAGATAAAAATCTGATAGCTTGTAATGTAAATCAATGAGATACAGTATAACAGTATAACAAATACTTAAATTATATATACAGTGGGTACGGAAAGTATTCAGACCCCCTTAAATTTTTCACTCTTTGTTATATTGCAGCCATTTGCTAAAATCATTTAAGTTAATTTTTTTTCCTCATTAATGTACACACAGCACCCCATATTGACAGAAAAACACAGAATTGTTGACATTTATGCAGATTTATTAAAAAAGAAAAACTGAAATAACACATGGTCCTAAGTATTCAG